GGACCCCTGGGTCTGGGGGAGGAGGGGCTGGGGCTGGACCCCTGCATCTGGGGGAGGCGGGGCTGGGGCTGGACCCCTGGGTCTGGCGGAGGAGGGGGATTCAGGAAAGTAAAAAGAAAAAAAAAAGTCGACTTTGGGCCCCCAGTAAAATTTCTGTCTCGCAACTGCAGAGTTCACTGGTTGGTTTGGTCCAGGTTCACAGATGCACGTGCTCTTTAGGGCGTCCCTGCTCTGTGCTTGTCCCCTCATCCCACGTGGCCGCTCTCCATGCATAGTTGGCGCTGTCGCCGTGCCAGGTTAAGGATCAGCCACGAGAGAGCAGATGCAGTTCTCGGGTCTATGTCTGGCTCCAAACCTGATGCTCTCAGCCCCTGAGCTGTAACCTCCGCCCTGTCACCTGGTGTAACCTGCTCAGTCATCTCTGGCTCATCCCCATTGCCTGGATGAGAAAGTTGAGGCTCAGAGCAATAAGATTTCCCCAAATTCATACTGAGGCTGGGGTTACGAGGAAGGGAAGGCAAAGGCGAAGGGATGGATTATTTTACATCATTTTTTTGGGCCTTTTTCCTCATTACAAAAATAACTTGTGTCCATTGTAGAAACTGCAGACAGTACAGTTATGAGCAAAGATAAGACAGTAGCGCCTATAGTCAAGTACGCCCAGGTACTTCCAGAAATATCCACTATTACTCTGTTACGTATCCTATTATCTCTGTGTTTCTAAACAAAAACTAGAATTGTGCTGTAAGTACAATATTGAAACTTTAACTTTTGAACACTTGTCCATGTCAAAGCACATAGATCCACAACCTCATGTTCCCTGACGTTTTACTAGAAAGATTTTTAAACACACAGAAAAATCGTAAGAACCTTCCAGGGAACACTCAGAATTCCACCACACGGAGTCTCCCGCTAACACCTTGCTGCGCTTGGCCTGTCGCGTTCTGTCCATGAGTCCATCCCTCTGTCCACCCGTCAACCCGCCTTATCTTTAGTGCATTTCAAAGTGCCCACAGCCCCTTTTCAGTGTCGCTGGATCTCTGTCATGTGTGCGCGCCATCCGTTGTTTAACCGGTCCCTAACATGGGATACGGAGGTCGCTTTCCATTTTCAACTCTGCAAATGCCGTGGGGGGTGACCAGCGCCCACCACCCACCTCTGCGGATAGTCACTTGTCAATTGTCAGTGGATGGAACTGCCCAGGAGAGCTGTTCAGTGGGTGTTGACAGATGGCGCCTCTACTGTCCTGCCTCGAAGTGCCCGATTCAGGCTGTGGGTGCTGAGAGCTGGGTTCGCAGCCCGCTCTCCACCGGGCCTGCGTCTCCTCCACCTCTGCACACTGAACAGTTCCTTGACTGCTTCCTGAGTGCCAGGTGCTATTGGCACCTCTGTTAACATACGTCGGTTAATAAAACCGACCAAATTTCCTCCCCTGTGGCGCTCCCGTCCTAGTGAGCAGAGAAACAAAAGCAAGATAAAGCAAACTGCGTAGCGTGTCCAATGGCAGTAAGTGCCGTGGGAAAGACACAGCAGGGAGGGATGGGAAGGGTGGTCTTCGCATTTGAAACAGGGTGCTCTAGGAAGGTGTTGCTAAGGCGACATCTGAGCAGAGGCCTGAGGGAGATGAGGGTGAGCTAGGCGGGTATCTGGGGGGAAGAGCATTCAGGCAGAGGGAACAGCATATGCAAACTCATTTCCGGCCATCAGTCCCTGCATATGCAAACACCCTGGAAGTCTAACTGGAGTGTTTGAGGACCAGCAAGGAAGCCACTGTGGATGCAGAGACGGGAGCAGAGGGGAGAGTAATGGCTAATGTGGGCAGAGGTGGCAGGGGGGCGGGCGGATCACGTGAGGCCTGTGGCGGGATGAGGATTTTGGTTTGACTGTGGGCCAGGCAGAGGCGGG